CTTCGTGAATCAGAAGTGGGTCCCTACCAGTTCAGATTCACGAAGCTCTTAAGGAGCAGGTATGAAGCTAAAAAATGTTTTGCAATTGCCATATTTTAAAAGAAAAATATTTCTAATACTTAATTGCAAAAATGTTCCTAACATTTATGAAGGTATCAGGGCTTCCAACCCCTTCATTTTCCCTCTCTTGCTTGAGAAGAGGGGGCGGATGGGTGGTCCTTTAGCCTTGGAACACATTTATTTTCTTTGAGAAAGAAGAAAGGTGGATAGAAGAAAATTAGCCGGTTCCCTGGTGCTAATGAAGGAGGAAAATAGATATGTTTAAGGAAAAGATTTAGCTCGTTGATATGAGAATCATTGTGCTGCAGCAACCTATCGTTCTCATTTATGCTGCACATCGGAAATCTAATAGCCATCTTTTCCTGGGGTGAAAAATGTGTCGATCCAAGGCATTGCCTTTCATATTTACCCAACCTGTCTCCAAAAATTCCTGGATAATGGATACCACCACACCAGGGGTGGGTTTCTCACCCTGTTCCAACCGGTTCGGGTGGAACGGGGCCGGCGGCGGCCTCGTGCATGCGCGCTGTGGACGCGTGCGAACTAGCGTCTGCGTGATGCTCCAGCTGCTCCTGGACGATTGCGCAGGTGTTGTATGCGTCCTGCGCATGCGTGGAGGGGCAGAACTCGTCAAAACCGAGTAAGGACCGCGGGCGGGCGCGCCCTTCGCCGTTCCCGGAAGTTACTTACTTCCGGGTTCGGTGACCAACCAGTTCGCAGGGACCGCCGCGAACCGGTTGAAACCCACCCCTGCACCACACATACCTTGGCATCTAGTTATTCTTTTCCCAACCTGTCAATTGAAAGCCACTGACTTGCAACCATCATATTAGAGTTGTGGTGGCACAGTGGTTAAAGTGCAGGATTGCATGTTACTTCTGCTGACTACTAGCTGCCTGCAATTTGGCAGATCGAATCTCACCAGGCTCAAGGTTGATTCAGCCTCCCATCCTTCCGAGGTTGGTAAAATGAGGACCTGGATTGTTGGGGCCAATAGGCTGACCTGTAAACCGCTTAGAGAGGGCTGTGGAGCACTATGAAGGGGTATATTTAGTAAGTCTGAGAGCTATTGCTATAACCCAAATCTCTGAGCAATCAGGGAAAAATGGCATCTATAATCATTATGAGAACATACTCTTAGCATTGCCTTATTGTCATAGGGACAAAATACAGTCAAATACAGACAAAATTCAAAATGGTACACAAAACATCCCAACTTCAAAACATCTGTTCCAAACAGAATGGAACTTTCTGTGGTTACAACATTTCAACATTTTCCCTACCTGTAGTAGAGACCAGAGGTGGTATTCTGCGGATGAACCGGTAGTGGTGGTGGCAGGAGGCTCTGGCTACCTGCCCAGATGTCATCACGGACACTCTGCGCCTGCGCAGAAGCACCATGTATGAGCGAAGCAAGCGTGCACATTCCCGGTTCCGAACTGGTAGTGAAGATAACAGGATTTCATGCCTGGTAGAGACGATTGCATGGATGACTGCATGTAATGGCCAGATGTCACCACAACCGACTGCTTTCCTTCCTATCAGATCCCAATGACTGACTTTTCATACAAATTGAGAAATACGGTAATTATTTGTACCGCCATATGCAATTTTTAACTCAGCAGCTAGGAAGTTTCTTAATAATCAAGAAAGATGGAGGCCATGATGACAAAACTACCCTGAGCCGAGGTGGCGCAGTGGTTAAATGCAGCACTGCAGGCTACTTCAGCTGACTGCAGTTCAGCAGTTCAGCGGCTCAAATCTCACCGGCTCAGGGATGACTCAGCCTTCCCTCCTTCCGAGGTGAGTAAAATGCAGACCCGGATTGTTGTTGGGGGCAATATGTTGACTCTGTAAACAGCTTAGAGAGGGCTGAAAGCCCTATGAAGCGGTATATAAGTCTAACTGCTATTGCTATTGCTATTGCTATTG